AGGCCGGCGGTTCGAGTCCGCCCGAAATCATACGTTTTGACTTCACTTGCTTATTTAGTTGCATATAAATGATCACTTATGCTGTATAATCCGCACTGAAAAGAGAACTGATTAGTTGACAATCAAGCAGATCTCGTGGTGTAGTGGTTAGCACATCTGTCTAACACACAGAGTTCCGGCGGTTCTAGTCCGCCCGAGATCATACGTTTTGACTTCACATGTTGAAATAGTTGCAAGTAAATGACCACTTATGTTGTATAATCCGCACTGAAAAAGAACTGATTAGTTGACAATCAAGCAGATCTCGTGGTGTAGTGGTTATCACATCTGTCTAACACACAGAAGGCCGGCGGTTCGAGTCCGCCCGAGATCATACGTTTTGACTTTGCATGTTGAAATAGTTGCAAATAAATGACCACTTATGGTACATAATCCGCACTGAAAAAAAAAATGAATAGTCGGCATTCAAGAAGATCTCGTGATGTAGTGGTTATCACATCTGTCTAACACACAGAAGGCCAGCGGTTCGAGTCCGCCCGAAATCATACGTTTTGACTTCACTTGCTTATTTAGTTGCATATAAATGATCACTTATGCTGTATAATCCGCACTGAAAAAAGAACTGATTAGTTGACAATCAAGCAGATCTCGTGGTGTAGTGGTTATCACATCTGTCTAACACACAGAAGGCCGGCGGTTCGAGTCCGCCCGAGATCATACGTTTTCACTTTGCATGTTGAAATAGTTGCAAATAAATGACCACTTATGGTACATAATCCGCACTGAAAAAAAAATGAATAGTCGGCATTCAAGAAGATCTCGTGATGTAGTGGTTATCACATCTGTCTAACACACAGAAGGCCAGCGGTTCGAGTCCGCCCGAAATCATACGTTTTGACTTCACTTGCTTATTTAGTTGCATATAAATGATCACTTATGCTGTATAATCCGCACTGAAAAAAGAAACTGATAGTTGACAATCAAGCAGATCTCGTGGTGTAGTGGTTATCACATCTGTCTAACACACAGAAGGCCGGCGGTTCGAGTCCGCCCGAAATCATACGTTTTGACTTCACTTGCTTATTAGTTGCATATAAATGACCACTTATGCTGTATAATCCGCACTGAAAAGAGAACTGATTAGTTGACAATCAAGCAGATCTCGTGGTGTAGTGGTTATCACATCTGTCTAACACACAGAGTCCGGCGGTTCGAGTCCGCCCGAGATCATACGTTTTGACTTCACATGTTGAAATAGTTGCAAGTAAATGACCACTTATGTTGTATAATCCGCACTGAAAAAGAACTGATTAGTTGACAATCAAGCAGATCTCGTGGTGTAGTGGTTATCACATCTGTCTAACACACAGAAGGCCGGCGGTTCGAGTCCGCCCGAGATCATACGTTTTGACTTTGCATGTTGAAATAGTTGCAAATAAATGACCACTTATGGTACATAATCCGCACTGAAAAAAAAATGAATAGTCGGCATTCAAGAAGATCTCGTGATGTAGTGGTTATCACATCTGTCTAACACACAGAAGGCCAGCGGTTCGAGTCCGCCCGAGATCATACGTTTTGACTTCACATGTTGAAATAGTTGTAAGTACATGACCACTTATGCTGTATAATCCGCACTGAAAAAGAACTGATTAGTTGACAGTCAATGAGATTTCGTGGTGTAGTGGTTATCACATCTGTCTAACACACAGAAGGCCGGCGGTTCGAGTCCGCCCGAAATCATACGTTTTGACTTCACTTGCTTATTTAGTTGCATATAAATGATCACTTATGCTGTATAATCCGCACTGAAAAGAGAAACTGATTAGTTGACAATCAAGCAGATCTCGTGGTGTAGTGGTTATCACATTTGTCTAACACACAGAAGGCCGGCGGTTCGAGTCCGCCCGAAATCATACGTTTTGACTTCACATGTTGAAATCACCTGTATCACCTGTCGTCCCGTTGATCGTCGAGTGACTCGAGCGGCTACCAGCAACTCTTCCATTTTTCCCTATCGCGTGCAAGAGTAGCCCAGTGGGTCCTCCTTGCTCTAGGAATTCGCTGAGCATCATATCTTTCTTCCATCGCTTTCGTGAAGAAATCGGACCAACGGGTCAGTGGTCTTCCTTTAGAGCGCTTGACGTCCCGAGGAATCCAGTCGGTAACGACTCTTGTCCATCGGTTGTCGTTGAAGCGCATCACGTGTCCGGCCCACCTTACTTTCGATACCCTGGCGTGTAGAACGGCGTCTCTGATTTTCGATCGTTGACGTAGGTCGGAAGTTCGGATCCTTTGTCTCATTTGCGAAATACGGGATACTCCTAGCATCGACCTTTCGACTGCGCGTTCGATAACGGCAAGTGATCTTTCATCCTGCTTACGTAGCGACCAGCTTTCTGCTGCATACGTTAGGGCAGGGATAATTGTCGAGTCGAAAAGGTGGGCACGGAGTCGGATGTTCTTTGTCCTCTTCACTACATCTTCGATGCTCTTAAACGTTCCCCAAGCCGCTCGTTTCCTCCTGCTCAACTCTGGGGCTAGGTCGTTCATCATGTTGATTTCACGACCTAGATGGATGTAACTGGAGCATTCGGAAATTGTCGTTCCGTTGAGCGTGAATGGGGCATTAGAAACCCATCCGTTCCTCATGAACATTGTTTTCGTTAGATTCAGTTGAAGACCGATCTTTCCACAGGCGTTGTCGAAATCAGTCAACATTCGTTCCGCTTGGCTGATGTTTGGTGTTATGAGAACGATATCGTCAGCAAAGCGAAGATGGTTTAATTGTCGACCGTCAATTTTCACTCCCATTTCGTCCCATTCTAATGTTCGCATGACGTTTTGTAGGGTGGCAGTGAATAGTTTTGGCGATATTGTATCGCCTTGTCGAACCCCTCTTCTTACGTCAATGGTGATATTGTTGTAGAATGGAGATATTCTGGTCGTGAAATCTTTATAAAGCTCACGAAGGAACATTATGTACCGAGAAGGGACGCCCTGGTTATCCAGAGCCTCTATAACCGCTTCTGTTTCCACTGAATCAAAGGCTTTCTTCAAATCGATAAAAGTGAGACAGAGTGGTTGTTTGTACGCTCGCGAAACTTCAATGAGTCTTGTGATCGTGTGGATGGGGTCTATGGTACCAAATCCCTTTCGGAACCCTGCTTGTTCGCATGGCTGTCCTTCGTCCTGTGTTCTGTCAGTCCTCTTCGGGATGACTCGGTAAAGAGTTTATAGACAACGGACAGCAAACAGATTGGGCGATAATTGCCTATGTCGTGAAGGTCTCCTTTTTGAACAACAATGCGGTCTTGCTGATTTTCCATTGAATAGGGACCTTGCATTCTGACAGGTAGCGAGTGAAGAGCCGAGCCAGGGTGTTGATGAGAACTGGCGGCAGGTTCTTCAGGTGTTCTGGTCTAATCCTGTCTGGACCGGGTGTTGTTCTGTTTTTCACCGACGATATAGCATGTCGGATTTCGGAAGGAAGGACCGGTGGAACGACATATTCGTCCTCACAGTAACAGTAACATGTTGAAATAGTTGCGAGTAAATGACCACTTATGGTGTATAATCCGCACTGAAAAAGAACTGATTAGTTAACAATCAAGCAGATCTCGTGGTGTAGTGGTTATCACATCTGTCTAACACACAGAAGGGCGGCGGTTCGAGTCCGCCCGAGATCATACGTTTTGACTTCACATGTTGAAATAGTTGCAAGTAAATGACCACTTATGGTGTATAATCCGCACTGAAAAAGGACTGATTAGTTAACAATTAAGAAAATCTCGTGGTGTAGTGGTTATCACATCTGTCTAACACACAGAAGGGCGGCGGTTCGAGTCCGCCCGAGATCATACGCTTTGACTTCACTTGTTTAATTAGTTTCAAATAAATGACCACTTATGGTGTATAATCCGCACTGAAAAAATAAGTGAATAGTCACATCCAGATCAATTCGCATTTTGCCTCCATTTTTATCATGCGTATAATTCACTGGAAGCCGAAAAGCATATCAGTGTTTAGAGGAACTTTCGTAGTATTTTAGTTAATCGTTTTATCTGGAGTTTCGTTCTATGCGAAGAAATAATTCTTAGTTCAATAACAAAATATCAATCGTCCCGCCTCGCGCCGCCCCTGGCACGGCCTTCGCCTTGTCGTGCAGCCTGTAAGCATCACCAAAAATATGGAGCTCCATCTTATCTTCTTCTTCTTCTTCTTCCTTCTTCTCCCTTCTTCTCGCCTCCTCCCTCTCCCTTTCCATGCTGAACGGTATTTTCAAAAAATAGGCACATCGCTAGAATCACAAAACGTTGCTCTACCAGATGATTACTACTCATCTAAAGAAAGAGCTCTGCCTGCGAAGTTTAGAACACAAATCGAAAACCAGAGGAGATCAGAAGACCTTCTTTCAAAACAAACACATTTTTGTGTTCTTTGAAGCTTGTGCTACTAGGAGTATGAGCACTAGCACTCTGAGGAAGGCATTTTGTCCGGCGAAATAAAGGCGAGATAAAGGAAAAAAACACGTGGATTTATGAAACATTATTTTATTTCAAATGTTACAGTGTTAGAAAGAGGTATTTTGAAAAACTGGCAACGTGGGGCTGTAGACACAAGTCTGAGCTATCGAATGGTTACTAACCCTCCTATGAAAAATTCTTCTACAAACGAATGAGATCGGTTTTACGTTTGTTCCCTCATAATCAGAAAGAACCAAGATCTCTTTTTGTGCTGCGATCTCGAAAGTACTCAGTGGTGTTCAAATACGTGACGGCTACACACCTTGGTCGACGAGAACTGATAGGATTGCATTAGTTCCGACGACGTCAAACGCTTTCTTACAATCGAAAAAGGTTAGGGCAAGGGAAAGTGGGTATTGCCGACGAAATTCGACGATTTTTGAAGTAGTTTGGATGTGGTTGATGCAGCAGAATGTTTGTCGGATCGTGCTTGCTCAGCTGGTTGTGCCTCATCCAGTTTGGTCGGGCAAATGTGCCTCGCTGGTGTAGTGGTAGAGCTCGCGTCCCTAGCTAGGATGAAACGCGGGTTCGATTCCCGACTGAGGCCATGTTTTTCCTCACCCCTCAAATTCTCATAGGAGTATATGAAACATTATAACACTGCGAAAAATGCAGTAAAACAATAGAAATTTGAAATATTGATGAAGGACTTTTTCGTTGCCAATTTCATATCATGGCGGGTGTAGTAATGATCCCATCTTCGCTGATGAGGACTGATAGCGGAATATAATAGTTGCGGAGGTCCCGGCAGCACTTCTTTATGCTAGATTGCCTAAAGCTGCTTCCTATAACTCTTTTGCCTATTTCGACGGAAACCCTTTTTGAAAGGCCCTCTGAGGCTGCTATGTTCTAGCAAGATAAAGCTTCAGTTTTCTTTTCTTTTCGAACAACTCTTCCAACAGCGACACGATTTGAGTATCTCTTATTTGAATAACTGATCTGTTTAGGCACATGTTTTAGGTCCATCGGCAAGCCGAATGTAGTCTTTGTCGCGTCTTCCTTTATTCGACAGTCGTATGAGAAAGAAATTTTTTTGACAACATCATCGTCATACACAACTTGTGTTTTTTTTACACGAAGACAAAACTTCTTTTCCACCTTATGGTTTAACTGAATCTTCGCTGAAAGGCCATGATCACATTCCGAAGAGAATCCAGATTCCACTAAGGTATCTAAAAGCACCATTTTTTGCCTGTAAGTATGTGATCGATTTTCGCATGAATCTCATGAGTCGTGCCGTTAAGAGGCTCTTGTGTTCATCATAGATTCTCTTTGTTCTCGAAAAATGGGTTTCAGTGGAAGAGATGAGCTGTGGACAGTAGCCGCCGTTCTCTCTTTGTACTCCCATTTCGATTTATCCTCTACTATATTCATTTTCGCTGCCCACTCCTAATTTGGTATTGAAATGTCGACTTTTTGTTGCGGATGATTTCCTCTAACTGGTTGTAGAACGTGTCTAATTCGCTCTCATCAATTTTACAGGGTGGTAAGTAGTGGTTTCGTATGAAATGACTGAATATTGGTGAATGACAAAGCGTCCGACATTTGGGAATTGGAATTTCCCTCCAAGAATGGCGAGAGATGCCTTTCAACAATTTTTCGATTATCACTGTAGCTCAAGAATTGAAGCCTTTATTGAATTATAAATAAGTACTTGCTCTATCGTCTCATGGGTACTAATTATTATCTAGCCACATGTTCTGCGCTGTGAACTTAATCGATCATTGCTACTTCTGTCATTAGACATGCGCACTAAGTTAACGTGCCCTAGTTACTTAACTTCTAGTTAATTGTACTCGTTGTGGTTTTCTGTTCCTCATCCAGTCCTCGTTGGAGAATTGGAGTTCCTACAGACCACTTGCTTATCCAGCGATGAAAAGAACGTCGCTGACGAAGCAGGGACAACATGGAAAGCGAGTACTTGATGGAAGTGTAGCTTTACGAATGGTGACTCAGATGATAAAGAAAAGGTAGTTTAGTTGATACCGAAGCAGTGGATTCGTGATTGGGGAATGCGGTGTTGTCCACTATACCACCTTCAGTGAGCTACGAGCCAAACTTCAACCCCACGTTCTGCGCCACTGGGAGAAGCCAGTCGATTTCTTCTGACTGCCGATAAAGGACTCTTGGAAGTTGATCTTGGAGCAGACCAACATCTAACATTAGCAGAAAAACGAGGACTGAGATATTACGATGATCGATGAGATGAGGAAAATCATTGGCTTGTGCTTTCAGATTAGTGTGGTACAATTACCGTATCTGTAAAACTACTGGAGCAGTCATCTATCTCTAAAAATTCTACTTTGAAGCTAGATATCATGCCCAGGAATCATTTCTATATGTCATGGCTCACTTTCATGCAGTCGATGATAATATGTGCAATATCGCCCTAGATAAACAGGTGGCACTCCTTCGTCGATTTCCTGGCGTGTTTTCGTTCGACTATCAACCTCACCAAAACACCGTAGGCGTTGTATTGAATGATAGAGAAAGTTTGAAGAAATAAAATGACGTGCCTATGTTTAAAAAAACTAGACACGTTTCTGCGAGGTGCAGCTGATGTGAGAACAACGTTTGCGTGGAATGCTTCTGATTAGGACTACCATTCTAAACAGTTTAGATATTCGTCTTAAAGAATGTGTATTCTGTGTATGGTTTTTTATATTGCATACTGTAGATTAGGGCGCCGTGGCCGAGTGGTTGTGATGCTCGTCACGCGTGCGCGGAGCAGAGTTCCCCTTCTCCCTAAACACTCTCCGGCAATTAACAACAACGCCTTATGGAAGGCCACAGCAACGCTATCCTCGAGATTGCAAGGAGACTTGCTCAACCAGTATTCTACGCCGTTCAAGAAGAATAACGGAAACGCATTGAATGCTAGGAATACTGGGTCCGCACAGTGAAAAAAATACTTTGATCAAATGAAAAAAAAAAACGATAAAAACAGAATTGTGGATCATAGTGGTTCCAAATTCGGCTGCTGTGGGATGTAATCTGTTGATTACATTGGGATACACTAGCTGTTGATCGTGTGTCGGAAGCAAGTACTGGATTGATAATCGGTGCCAATGTATAAGTGAGGATACATTGTCGTTAACCAATCATGAGCTTATAACTTATTAATTTTTCAGTGAATATCCTTAGCAAACGATTCACAACAACATAGAAAGATAATAGCTAAAAAGTGCTTTTTTTGCAAAGAACTACTCCACAAAGTGATGAATGCAAGTTCTTCCATGGTTCACTTTGACTACATGCTAAAATGCTTTCGAATGAAAATTGTTAGAAGTTCTACGTTGCCGAAAATGTGCTTTCAATTTACACTTACAACATCGTCGAAAGAAATGCGATAAATGAGAGATGCGATGAATTCTCCACGATCTAGTTTTTGTATCGAAACCTAAGGATTTTTGAGACAGCTAAACGTTGTTCATACTATAAAAAACTTCTATAGCTGTCGATCTAGTATTAATCTATCTTTTTTTACAGCGATACTATTTGATTAAAATCAAAATATTATTTAAGCCTCGATACATCCGCTGCGAAGTTGAAACAATAGGGCTAATTATTGGAAAATCAAAACGTTATATGCTTTTGTTAGTGGCATAAAAAGTAGATGTTCTTTTTGTAAACCGGGCTCACTAACAGAATTTGTATATCTCAGGCTATCGAATGGCTTCAAAAACATAAACAATATGATAATAATGTCCGATAACAGCTGGAAAGATCTTCCTTTTCGCAACGATGTGGCTCTCCCCTTGAGACATAGAGAATTTTGCGACACCTGGGTACTCTTCTACTGAAACTGTTCTCACAGAAGTCTCCTCAGTATATTCTATTTTTTAATGAGGACCGCGTTTCCTCCAGACCTTAATTTACCAGATTTGTATTGTAGAGCGCATCAATCTTCGTAAACAGTCCGAACAGCGCGAACAACCCTGCATCGATAACGATGCACGCTGACCCGCAAGGGTTAAGCGGGCGTGTGAACCACTGGATTCGTTCACTCTCAGCTAGACCTTTTTCTTCACTAGGAAACACCTCCAAGACATGGTGGGGTGAAGGAACTTGAAAAGCAAATTCTCTTTTTCAGTGCTTTACGGAGGCCACCGCTTTGCTATTACGATGTCTTCGATAGATTATGTTTGCGACTTTCCTCGAAAGATCTCGTGGTGTAGTGGTTATCACATCTCACAGAAGGTGGGCGGTTCAAGTCCGCCCGAGATCATACGTTTTGAACTCACTTGTTTAAATAGTTGTACATAAATGACCAATTATGGTGTATAATCCGCATTGAAAAGAGAATTGATTAGTTGATAACCAATAAGATCTCATGGTGTAGTGGTTATCACATCTGTCTAACACACAGAAGGCCGGCGGTTTGAGTCCGCCCGATATCATGTGTTTTGAATTCACACGTTTGAATCCCACTAATCGTCGAGTGACTCGAGCGGGTACCAGCAACTCTTCCATTTTTCCCTATCGCGTTCAAGAGTAGCCCAGTGGGTCCTCCTCGCTCTAGGGAATCGCTGAGCATCATATCTTTCTTCTATCGCTTCCGTGAAGAAACCGGACTAACGGGTCAGTGGTCTTACTTTAAGCGCTTGACGTCCCAAGGAATCCAGTCGGTAACGGCTCTCGTTTAATTAATTGCAAATAAATTAAATCTTGTTTAATTAGTTGCAAATAGATGACCACTTATGCTGTATAATCCGCACTGAAAAAATAAGTGAATAGTCGGCAATCAAGAAGATCTCGTGGTGTAGTGGTTATCACATCTGTCTAACACACAGAAGGCCGGCGGTTCGAGTCCGCCCGAGATCATACTTTTTGACTTCACTTGTTTAATTAGTTGCAAATAAATGAGCACACGTTTTCGATTCAGATGTTTGATGATTTTTAGATTCCGCACGCAGTGTTCATCAAAATATGTGGCCATAGAAAAAATCACAAGAGTATAATTTTACAAGATCTTCACAACGTTTTTAAGCTTTGATGAATAATCAGCGAACGCGAAATTTCCTCCTTTTCATGAACATCTTGAAGATCTTGGAATAATATGCACTGAGTGTGGAACATCTATAACATCCATTTTGTACGGTACTTTTCCGCTATCCAGACACTGTTTCGACCCCTCAGGAAAAAAACAATTTTTAGGCTTTATTCAGGTGTTACTAATCATTTTTTAGCTGAATTCAAAAAATTTGATTGGCGTATTTTATTTTCAAAATGATTCCATCATTGCGCTGAAACAGCAGAGATGAGATTTCGTTCCTCATTCAAACATTTGCCGCCGAACAAAGCTTTCACAACTTTAGATCATTTTCCTCATTCGCATCTCTTTTGATCACTTTGAAAAGGCGGGTCTTTTGCTATTTTGTGAAGTTTGAAGAACTAAGAGCACAAATCTCAACAATTTTAATAGCATATTTTAGCTACGGCACAGCCCTATTTCTGCACTGTAACAGCAAAAATAAGATTGCTACTCCTTTAGACTTTTAGCAATCACCCTATAGCTCGAATCTCGTCGATTCCACTACTGTGCTT